GGGTTTCTCCTAGAGTGCATCAAGTAACATTCTCTAAATCTTCTAATTGTTTCTAATCTTTTTAAAACACAAAATAAAGAGTTTTTCCTTTTTAAGCATACAAAACTAGGACTGTATCTCTTTATTTCTTCCTTTTCATTGTTTGTTCAAGCAATCTCCTCTTAGATTGGCTACTCTTACATATGAACATTTTTTAAGTTAGCTAACTTTTCTGTGCTTAGCTCAGTGCCTGAAACAAAGTAAATGCTATGTGAACAACAGTGAACCCTTATTTATTTAACATCTACTATGTGCCAAACAATATAACATGGGCACAGAGCAGAAATAACATGAACAAACTACCATAAATATATAACATCAGGTGTATCAAGTGTCTAAAGAAAATTAAAGCAGGGGAAAGAGAGAGAAAATGACAGATACTGTTTTTACAACAGAAGTCAGAATCACATCTCTGATAAAGACATTTTGACCAAAAACCTAAAGAAAACAAGAGCAAGGGACTTGAATACATGGGGCAATGACAACTTCACACAGACGGAAGATAAAGCACAAGGCCCTAATGCTGGGATTGCTGGACAGGGGAGCAGGTGACTGGAGCAGATAGTACAAGGCAGAGAAAGGTCAGAGAAGAAGCTTAACTGCCTACAGTAGTTGAGAGACCAATACCTGCTAGAAGATCTTTTGGTAAGAAACTTGGATTTGGGTTGGTGTGTCAGGAAGTCACTGGAGGGCTTCATCAGAAGGGTGACAAGAGTGGGAAAACCAGAGGAGCCTGTGGCCCCAGTGAGACCACAGATGATGGTGGAGTGCACAGGACAGCAGGGAAAACTAATTTAATAAGCCTAGGAGCTCTTCCACACCACAATCTCCCTTTAACTGACACTTATTGAGCACCTACTAAGGAAGACATCGGGTTGGCCATTTACAGATGTTATCTCTTACCTTAATGGTGCAGATAAAATACATATTTGCACCTAGGATTAGGATGTTAAAGCTCCAAGGAATATTGAAAAACATTTACTGCAACCACATTAATTTACAGATGTGGAATTAGAATCCAGAGAGATTAAATGCATCACCCAGGACCACTTAACTGGTCAAGTTAAGAGAAGGGCCCGGGAGGCAGGTTTCCTTAGCTTACAAAAGAGGACATTTCAGGGCCTCGCCAGTGGTGCAGAGGTTGAGCGTTGGATTGTGAAGCTGCCTGCAGCCTCTGTGGCGCAGGTTCAATCCCGGGCTGCTCCCCGGCCACTGGAGGAGGGTCCCGCATGGCGCGCAGACCTCTCCTGCCACCCGCTGCTCCCCTCAGCAGTGTACTTCGGTCCTTCTGCCTGCTCTGCTCCCCGCTCTGGCTCTGGTGAATTCTCTCACCCTCCTGCACTTCTGACTGTACCCAGTGCTTGTAAAAATAAATAAATAAATCTAAAAAAAAAAAAAAAAGGACATTCCAAGTCAGGATTTCTACAGAGTCACAAGAATAACTGATAACTGCTAGTGTCCTTCCTTAAATTACTTCCCTCTTGCCTCTTCTGATTTTAAAATAGCAGCAAAATTTCTTTCAAGCATGTTCTCATTAGGTTAATATTTATGAGAATCATTTCTAAAATGAGTATTTTTGAAATGTCTACATAATTCTTTGCCTTAGGAAGTCTATATAAATGACTATTGCCACAATCTATTGACTGGCAGTTCTGCACATCTCTGGCTGATAGAAATACCACTGACTTCCTGTAATTACTTTGTATGTCAATCTCTTACCAAAATAACACTTACAGATTACAGACAGTACTTGTCAGATTTGAGAATGGGCACAGTCTGCCTAAGTAATAATCAGTGACTATAGTAAGTTAATCTACTGCCTGCCCCAAGCCAAGGAGGACAAAATACAGAGCCAGTCTCAGTCAAAGAGGGAGCTAAAGCTGTGAAAAATGTTTTCTCTTTAAAGTAAACAGGAAACTACTATTTATTTCCAATTGCTTATTTTCTTAATTCTGTATAACTCGAAGAAATTAAGAAGCAAATAAACCTTGTTGAGGATAAAGAAGAAATTGCTAAGAACTCTGATTTGTGTTCCCTCTGAGCCAAGTGATGAGGTAACTGTCCTGTCATGAGAAAGACTCGGATTCCCATCCCCCAAATCTGGGATGGTTTCTGGATTTTGGTTCTGGACCGTTACCACTAACCGTAACCCTTCCTCTTCTCTTACCTTGAAATAGGGGTGCCAAAGGCCTCTGCTCTTTTTCTCCTTGGAATACTTGGGAGAAATTTTAAGGCCTCCAGGAACTCAAATATATCCCAGTAAGGTATGTAATCTAATACCAACATTTTATAAAATTGACCAATGGGCAGTGAGTGAGACTTGTTCCTGAATCAGCAACATAGCTTCTTGTTAGTTACTAAGTGCAAAAAGAGCTACATCCCAATCATCGGGTTCATTCCAAGCATATTAGGAAGAGAGAAATTCAACTGAGGGGCAATTCTCCCCTAAGAATCCTTTAGTTTAATTATGACCACAGTAGATTAAACGTCTGTAAGACAATCACGTCAGCTCTGCCGCTCCTGCTCAGCAGTGAAAGAAAGAAGGGAATCCTTTCACTGCAAAAAAGACAGGGAAGGATGCTCTTGTGGTTGTAAAGCATGGTTGAAATTTCAACTCAAGAGACTACCCGGCTACTGTGCTTCTTGTAAATGAACATCTTTTTGCTGCTAATTTTGTGCTATTTTACCTTCCATTAAAAAAAGTAATTCAGGTTAAACTCAGCTGAACAGCAAAAAGCTCTTGATATTTTGAAGCATTTTGGAACAATTACTTTGACAGGAGCCCTTGACAGTTAAATGACTCCCTTAAATGAATGTTATAGAAGACACATAATGATTTTTAGCGAAATATTGAATTTAACCACAAATGAGGAAAAGCCAGTCATAAGCATTATGGTTATATTTGAATAATAACATCTTGCTTATGAACCTCAATGGATTCTATAATTTCTAATAATCATGCAATCAACTAGTTAGTTGATGTATGCTTCCATCTTAGCGTTCTCTATTCATTTTGGGATTTTTGCCTTTGTTGTTGTTTTTTAATCTGAGAAACCAATATGAAAATTTGGAAACTGGTAATAATTTCCTCTTACATCAGTATGATAATTTACAGTTAGGCGGCTAATGAGTTCTGCCCACAATGGAAGTCCTCCCTTTTCCTCTTTTCTCATTCGCTGAATGAGATTCTTTCACAAAGTAAAATAATCAGCAAAAGGCAAGAGCCTGCTGCCTGGGAACGTGTGAATTCACTGTATGGCAGTGTTTCCTCCATCCGTGGGACTCAATATTCCTTTTCTTATTTTATGGATCAAATGTGAGATAGTATCAAGGCTTTTGCATGTTTTCTCATGACTAACGACTAAAATATGTACTGAAATAATAAAACTGGTACTGTTCAATTTCCTCTTTTAAATTCAATTCCAATATAAGTGAGAGTCTCCTTGTGATGGTGAAATCTGGCTTATTATAATCTGTTTTCTGGAGAAGGAGAGCAGCTAGAAATCTTCATAGACTTAAAACGTGTGGGTTTGCAGTAGGCAGGAACGCTGGGATTGAAGAAATGAGTCAGAAAAAACACACATGTTCTTTCTCTTGTCTGTCTGGCCAGTGGGGGTGAAAGTCGATACTAGCACACAGGGGCACCGCCCAGGTCTCTATCTCTCCATCCTGTGTGTAGCCACAGTGCCAGATCCTTCCGAACATGCGAGGTGCAGCCTCCCTGTGGTCCCACCACTGCCTCCACTCACCCTCCTTCAGTACATGTATATTACACTGCAGCTGCCTGTTTACATGTCTGCTCCCCACTACCCGCTCCCTCTTGAAGGACAGGGAGTGTCCTTTCATCTTGGACCCCCCAACTCTACTGAACTATGATAAGCTGTTCCCTAAATGGACTTTTGAACAACACTTTGCTTGAAAATTATAAGGTGTTGTAAACCATTGTTACTGTGATGGAAAATAATAATAAATAAACTTTTATCTTCTTCAGCTGACACCAAAAATACCTGGGAAAGGGCATAAAGTTTAAATATTTGATACTGAAATGAAAGTCCAGATACACCACAAGCTGTCTAAATGAGATACTACCTAGAACTCCACTGTAACTCAAAACCAGCAGTGCCAGCATCCACGGGGAACATTCTACACACAGACTCTTGGCTCTACCTCTGACCCCCCAAATCAGAATCTGCATTATAACAAACTCTCCAGGGAACTTATAGCAAAGTTCGAGAGCCTTTCCTTTAAATATATTGGCTAGTATGATGTCTAAAGCAGTGAGGGTGGACACACTACAGGAAAGACAAGGCCGTGGCAATGTGATTAATGCAGAATCTGCTGAGAAAGTTTCAGAGTTCTCTCAGGACTGAGTCACTAAAGCTCACAGGTGGGAAACTCACTTATACCAGTTCCCTTGGAGCCCTTTCTAGATATTTCTTCATGAATTTGCCTGTTTAAAGACACAGCTGCTCGTAATAATTGTCTTTTCTCCTTGGTGCAAGGAGTATTTATCGTCAGCATGCTGACATTTGCAGGAGTTTGGCTTTCTCCACCGAAAATGTGGATGATTGAAAGGATATTGCTGACACCTGAATAAGAAATCCAATGACTCCAAGCTATGTAAATTTAATTATTTCCCTTAATTTTTTTTCAGGAATCTCTTTTTTCTTTTCCTGAGCTTTGGAGAAGTCCTCACAATTTTCATCTGAAAGAAATACAAGTCAGCAGTGGTTCACTGAACAGGCTGACATGCAATTTCATAGGGGGAGAGGCACTGTGTCTTTAATCTAATTTGTGCTCTCAATTCCCAGCTAATGTATCTAGGGATCCTGGTGCGTGCATTTGCAAGGAGACATCTGTAATGCAGAGTCCAATTCTCTGCATGTTTCTGCAACATGAGTAAAGAATGAGTGTGGGTGCTTACAGCTGTGTGATACCACGATAAATCTCTTTATACTCACAGATGTAGAAATACTCCCGGCCTGGTCTGAATTCAAATCCTAGAGAAAAGGGTGTGAAGAGCTGGAATTTTTCAGAGAACTTCAGTGGTCCATTTGGAGAGTGAGGCCGGTTACATTCCCATCTCTTGAATCCTTTGGAGGTGTGGTCGCAGGCACTGTAGCCATCAAAGTTCACCATGTAGAGGACATAACGCTCAGTCTTATCTTCAGGGACTGAGTCCTCGTAGTGAGGGCAGAAGACATCCAGGTAGTCATTGATGCACACATCGATGTGGTAGTCACCCCTCTGAAATCTGTTGGGAGAAGAAAACGATGGGGTTATTCATAGAGGACAGATTTTCTGCTTGGAATCAGAGCTTGAACCCTTTAGTAATTCTAAGCCTGCAAGGTTTATTGTAATCTTCTATACTGTTTTATTATAACGCATTTGTCATAATACATCACACACTGTCGTTTGGGGCATGGTTTTAAATGTTGCTCTTCCAAATTAGGCAACGAGTCATTCTGCAGAAGAAATCTATTATGTTTGGTTGAAAATACCCTACAAGTGGAAGGCTTCCCTTTCACTTGAAGTATTACAAGTACTAATTTGCTGGTTTTGTTTCATTCCCCAAGCCCCATACCAAGGGATGTTTTCATATTTCTAAAATAGTGCTTCATTTAATAAATGCTGTTGAATAAATGAATAAGTAATTTAAAGAACAAATAAATGACTGAATTGTTTTCCTTATAATTGAGAGCATTCTCTATTTTCTATGCAAATGTGGAGGATTAGAGTCATAAAATTGAGAGAATTAGGATCATAAAATTTAAAAGTTGGAAAGAAAATTCCTAGAATAACAACTTCCACTTAAAAGGGAAATAATAATGCTAAGGCATAATAATGAAGCAGCTACTGAAGACCTGGAATGGAGACTTCTGATCCTAGGTGTTTCCCTTAGTATATCTACTTATGCCACAAACTCATTTTAGCTGATTTTTTTTTTGATGTCCTATTTATTCCTTTCCATATTAAGGAAACTGAAACCATCTGAATCAATGACTCCCCCCACCCTATTTCTTTTAATTTTACAGGTTGTGTTTTAAGGCTGAACAGATGAGTAATGGAAATAAGCCATATGAAAGCAGCAAAATCCATGGCCACTTCATCTAGAAAGAGTCACAGTCCAAGTAATCATATGCCCTTGTGCACACACACATACACCCATTATATATATCACACTGTCTACTTGAATTCTTACATTCAAAAATTTCTTATTATTTGCTTTACCTAATATGTGTTTCCCCATCAATTTGAGATATATTTCCCAGACCTCAGTGACATGTGCAACAGGGGTTGTTATGTAGGCAACTTTCTAAAGTCAGTGTGTAAATGCCTATGAATGCCCCCCCCCTTTTTTTAGCTAGTAAGGAAATGTTCAGAGCCCTGAGAATGTTCATTATGAAACTGTTACTGCTGAAATACAATGCCCACAAAGCCATATAATATTCAAGACAGACAGTGTCAGCATGAGCACTTCTATTCCATTTTTGGACATCTCTAAATGTTAAAAAGTTCCTTCCTATATTGAGCATAAATCTGTTTCTATGTAATTTCTATCCAGTGATCCTACTTCTGCTACCTGAAATTACAAAGCAAAAATCTAATTCTTCGTCCACCAGGTAATCCATAAAACATTTGGAGATGTCAGCTATGTGTCTCTGCAGCCTTCTTTCTCCAGACTTGAAAATCCTGATTTTTTTAGGATCCTCCTCATTCTGTTTTCTTAACCTTCTCAAGTCCTCCATTTCTCCAGCTTTTTCCTTAAAATGCAGCATCTAAACATAGCAAAGACCTTCTCCTTAAAATGCAGCATCTAAAGCAAAGACCTCAAACAGATTGTAGTGACTAGTAGAAACGCTATCAACAAGGGATGCTAAATAGTCATTGACAAAATTAAGATTCTTTTTTCAGATTCAAGGTAAAAGTGGAAGTACCACTCATTTTGAGTGAGTAGACCTACATTTCAGGATGAATCTGTTGCTGATTTCATGGGAGATTCATATACCTTCCTGAGCCTCATTTTCTTATATGTTAAGTCGGACTAAAATAGAAATCTGTCTTGCTAACCTCACATGACTACTTCAAGTCTCGATTGAGGAAAATATAATGCAAAGTATTGTTACTATTATCAGGATATATTAAAGCATATTCAAATTGTTAAATGAGAAAACACTAATTCTAAGTAACACTAGGAGCATACAACAGTAATAAAAATAACTCCTTAGATTTCCCTTTCTAAACTCCCCCCAAAGAAATTTAAACCCCCCCTCAAAAATCCAAAATCTTGTCCTCAAATATCAAATGATTTATAGAAACTATTTGATCCAAGCTTTTGAAAAGCAGCGTGCTGATTTATACAAGGGAAATAAGGAAAGACAGTCAGATAATTTCAGTTAGAGGTTCGCAAAATACATAACCATTTTTAAAAACAAAACCCTTGGAGTATCTATTTCTTTATATTTACAATGATCACAGGACCAGGTTTACTTTTTCTTCATTACTGGCAGACAACGATTTGTCAAGATACAAGAAAAGCCTGTGTTGCTTTTAAAAGATTTCTGAACATCAAGGTAACATCACTGCCAAAGTACAAAGAAAAGACACTGCAACGTTCAGATAAAAGGGTGCTGGGATATGAATCATTGGCACTCAGAGTAGCCTGACAGCCCTGGATGAGAGCCAGACAAGAGCTGCAGCAGAAGGCAATGCCCAGATGCACTTTATATTATTATATTATTATTATGGATTTTAAAGACATTCAAGGGGGAAGCTTTCCTCTCCCAAAGTGTCACTCATTTTAGGTTCTACTAGAACCTGACAGTGTTTAAAAATAAGAATAAAAATTAAAACTGCCACTGTCTGGACCCATTTTGTTACTGTTTTATTCTACAGATTGTCATTTTTCCCCCAATGTGTCAAATTTAGCCTCCTTTTTCTACCTTTTATCCCTGATAATACTGCTAAAGGATTTAATAAAACAAACCATGAGATTTGAAGACCCATTTTACATTGGAATGACCATTATCCCTTTATGGTGACATTTTACTCTGTGTGGGGTGTTAAGTGAATCACAGAGGAGCCTATTTTAAACATGAGTGCCCCAACAGTTAGTATTTTTACCTTTCTGTCCAAAGAAAAGGTGATGATTCACCATAGAACCAACTTACCCTTCTGTTACAGACCTTTAGTTATCGTAAGTTAGTTTACTAATATAAAGTTCAAAGAATGGACAGTATGAATATTTAAAAAAATGACAAATTGAAACTCTTTAAAGGCATCTGTATACTATATCCATGTACCATACAAAGAAAAGTTTAGGGTTAGATATGCTACTACTAACTCAAATTTTGCTCTCTGGCTACAAAGTAGCACTGAGCTATTGTCTTCTGACTTTGCTGTGAAGAAGCAGTATGTGTTGGCTAATATTATTGAGCACTGACTATGTTAGATTCTTTACCTCAATTTAATCTCCATCATAAATTGCGCAGAATAGACATCATTAGTATAACCATGTAAAGATGAGAAAAGCTAGATTAAGTAGTCAGCAGAACATTCCTCAGCTTTAAAGAAGAGGGAATCCTGCCACTTGCAACAACATGGATGGACCTAGAGGTATTTTGCCTAGTGAATTCAAACTGAGAAAGACAATTATCATATGATTTCACTCTTACAAGACAAAGAAACCAAGTAAATGAATGAACTAAATGAAATGAAAGTCAATTTTTCGATTTTTGACCAAATTAGTGGTTATCACAGGGGCAGAGGGGAGGTGGTGGGCAATTCACATATGCATTGCATGGTGAAGGATAGGAATTGGAATTCTAGTGACAAACCTAATATAATATGTACAGATGTTCATTTAAAAGGCTTTATATTTGAAATATATATAATGTTATAAGCCAGTATTCATTTGATTAAAATATATAAAAGTAAAGCAACATGCCTACTATTACACAACTAGGAAAAGGTAGAGGCAGAACTCTAACGTGAACAGTCCAACCTCAGAGTGAAAGCTCATCACTGTTCTACTGACTGAGAGACTAAATTGCTACAGTCCTACACTGAGGCAGCCCCCTGAAGGTTAACTCCCTTTCCTGGTGACGTTTCATTTCTCCTCCAGTCACTGATGCAACAAACATTTGATAAGCCCAGGCTCTGCTGTTTAACAGTTTTACATAAATTGGCATATGAAATCACTATTGGGGAGCTAGAGTTTCATTTTATCAAAAAGGAAATGGAATTCTGAGAGGCTGTTATCCTCATTAATTTTTTCATAGGAAATAAATAGCAGGAGTTAGGATTTTAACTCCAGTCTTAGGTGGTTCTGAAACATATTCTCTTTCCGCCTAACCACAATCGGCTCCAAACCAGCTGTTGTAATTCCCCTCACCTGATGGAGCTGTTAAGGACTGTGGTGCCATTGGATTACCTTAGGTTAACACTGTTCCTGGAAAACCTGCTGCAGGATGTCCTGGCCCTACTTTCTTTCCCTCTAGGTTGACCCCAAACTCCTCAATTAATAGCTTAAGAGTGGCATCAACATCTGGGGCCAGCATCTGACTCTTGCATGTCAGTCCAGTCTTTTGGAGAATTACGTGAATCAAGTAGATATTCACATAAAGGGATCTTTTTTCCTCACTAGGAAACAGCTTTCGTGAGTTTTAGCTCATATTAAAAGAGCAAGTTCGCATCTAGGAAGAATGATTCCACATGCCAATATTTATAAATGTCATGAGATGCAGTGCCACTGCTTTAACACATTTGTAAATTTCCTGGAAATGTTATCCTTTACTTCTTATCCTTAATTTCCCCACACTGTATCTGTGGTTTTCTACCTTTCTTAAAAAAACTGCATGTTATGGGAATTCCTGGTGGTGCAGGGGTTAAAATCTCAGCGCTATCAAGCTATCACCAGCCATGGAGGCATGAGTTCAACCCTGGCCTGGGAGCTGACCCACATGGCACAGCAGACCTCTCCTGTCTCACCCACTCCTCCCTCAGCAGTGTATCTTAGTAGATCCGTCTGTTCTGCTCCCCACTCTGTCTCTGCTGAATCATCTCACCCACAGCACCTCTGACCTATACCGCAGTTCTTGTACCTATAAATAAAAATAAATCTTAAAAAAAAACCCTGCATATTATGAAGAATAAGAATTTCTGGTTCTACACCAACAAGTCTACAATAATTGCAATGCAATCTCTATTAACTTATCACAGTGGTATACCATGTCAAAACATGTACAGTTATCA